GCTCACACACAGCTCACACACAGCTCACACACAGTAGTGGCTGCCTGCCTGGACAGCGCAGATATGAAGCTTTCTGTCAGTGGGAGATGCTGTTTTGAACAGGGCTGGAGATGGAGAGGTCAAGGCAAAAGCATCAGTCAGAGACCCTCAGTGCAGTGATGGTCTAGGGAGAGGTTAGTAAGTCCTTTAGAAAAGGTTGGAAAGAACAAAACCAACCGATGAACCAAACAAAACCCTGGAGCCACGGTGGAGAGACAAGGTAGAGCGCCAGAGCGCTGCCTGTGACGTCACATGTCTGCCTGAAGCATCAAGGGGAAACACATGACCTCCTTATTATCAGTTCCTTTAGAAGCCTCAGGAATTGCTCCAACTCCATGACTTTGTGTATGTGTGTTTGTGTGCATGCCTATGTGTGGTGCATGTGTGTGTGGTGTTGTGTGTATGCATGCATGTGTGTGTGGTATTTGTGTGTGTGTATGCATGTGTGTGTGGTGTTTGTGTGTATGTATGCATGTGTGTGTGGTGTTTGTGTGTATGTATGCATGTGTGTGTGGTGTTTGTGTATATGTATGCATGTGTATAGTGTTTGTGTGTGTGCGGTGTTTGTGTGTACATATGCATATTGTGTTTTTTGTGTGTACATATGCATGTGTCTAGTGTATGTGTGTGTGGTGTTTGTATGTATACATGTATGTGTGTGTGGTGTTTGTATGCATACATGCATGTGTGTAGTGTATGTATGTGGTGTTTGTGTGTATGCATGCACGTGTGTAACGTAAGTGAGTATGTGTGGAGTGGAGGCCAGGGGTCTATGCTCTCCAACTTTTTTTTTTGGTAAAGACTTATTTATTCTATTTTATTTGACTTTTACGTGTATAAATGTGCATTGTGTATGCCTGGTGTCCTCAGAAGCCAGAAGAGAGTGTCAGATCCCCTGGAACTGGAGTTACAGATAGTTGTGAGGCAACATATGGATTCTGGGAATTGAACCCAGGTCCTCCACAAGAGCCTCTTAATCACTGAATCCGGTCTCCAGCCCCCTCCATCATATTTTGAGACAGGGTCTCTTACTGAACAAGAGTTCACTGATTCAGCCAGACAGGCTGGTCATAAGCTCCCTGCTCCTTCCCCATGCCAGCTCTGGGGTCTAAACTCAGGTCCTCACGCTTTCTCAGCAGGTAATTTACTGATGGAACCATCTCCCCGACTCCTCCATTTCTTTTTGCTTTCATAAAAACCCCAGCAGCATCTCACACACCAGCAGGACCGTTTCCGCCATGCTGGGATGTGCAGAACTTCCTACTGACTTGTAGGCCACACTCAGCAAGACCTCCCGAGTCAGAAGTTCTGGGGCAGCACAAAAGTGTGTTTTAAGGAGCTGGGTGAGCCGCGTTTAGTGGCGCACACCTTTAATCGCAGCACTGGCACTTGAGAGGCAGAGGCAGGCAGATCTCTGGGAGTTCCAGGCCAGCCATAGTGGGACCTTTTTTAGAGAGGCGGAGGGCAGCAGCGTGACTCTGATATAGAGTAGCATGTAAGCGTGCTATAATCTAAGCTGGCTGTCTTTCTGGGCTTGGCTTTTTCAATTTCAGTTTTTAAGACAGGGTCTCACGCAGCCTAGCTGGCCTTGAACTCCAGTCCTCCTGCCCTATCTATCAAATGCTGGGATTACAGGTATATGCCACCGTCCACGCCTCAATTCCTTTTTTTCCTTCCTGTGCTGGAAATGTACCCGAGGGCCTCACACGCTAGGCTGCTCTACCCTGGGCCATAGCCCCAGCCTCTAGTTATCTTTAATCAGACTCTTACTGCTACATTTGGAACACTATTAAAATACAAGCACTTTAACCCAGCTCTTTCACAACTTCCACTGCCCTTATCCATCCGTCCATCTGTCCATCCATCCATCTGTCCATCCATCCATCCATCACCCATCCATCCACCCACTCACCGACTGATTCAAAGAATCTCCATTTGGAATATTTAAATGCAAAAAAAAAATGTAACCTGATATATAAAATTTTGACCCAACAAGACATGAAACCCTGAAAATTAAGGTGCAAGAATATCTTTCACCTGATAGACTCATCTTTCATATGCTTCCTATAATCATTAGGCAAAATTCACTTCCAATTTTTAAAAATAAGCACGGGTCATTCCCAACCCAAACCACTCGCTGCCTGTGACTCTCTCCGTCTTGACGGGGAGTGTACAGGGATACGGCAAAGGCATTAGCAAATACTAGCCGCAGGCGATGATTGAAGGTGACAGCCCTCCAGCCGCTGACCACAGGTCACATAAACACAACGCGGGACACCTTCCTTTGGTGCCACACAGCGTGATAGCCAGGGGGAGTGTTGGAGAGACACCCATCACGGGACTGAACGGAGAAGGCTTCAACGCATAATCCATAAACAGGGGTTTGACTGGAAGACAGGCAAGGGTGGAGGAGGTGGAGGGGTAGGGTTCAGCCAGAGAGAAGAAAATGCACAAAAGCAGTGAGGTGTGAGAGGCTAAGGAGCCCCGGGCCGAGGCCTGAGGAGGAACCAGATGGGCGGAAGTGTGGCCGAAGCCCACAGACCAGTTCTCTCAGCTGTTGCCAACACAGAGGAGAGAATTTTGAAAGGCTCCAGCCTGCAAAAGCCACTTTGTCTCTCTGTCGCTGCTGTTTCACGCGGCCTTTCCAGAGAGAAGTTCCAGGGACCACCGCCATTCGTTCTTCATTCATTCAATCTCCATTCTTTCATTCATTCATTCATTCCCCCACTCGTTGTGCAAAGAATTGAAAGAGTGCCTGGGACCCTCCTGGCCCTGCAGGTGACCCAAGCAGCCCCGCCCTGGGACGCACGGCGGCTTCTCGGCTCCCGGGCTGCAGCCAGTGCTCCCGTCGGCTCCCGCCCGGGGCTCACCTGGTTCCCGGTGGCCGGCGGGAGCGCAGACGCTGGGGTCAGACTCGGCTGCAGCCTGGCTGGCGGCGGCGCTGCGGACGCGGAGGCCGGCAGTTCCCGAGCCGTTGCTGCAGAACCCGCCGGCGTTCCGGCTGTGCGGGTGACATCTGGGGCGAGGGGAAGGGTACCTGGCTGCCCTCCACACCTGGGCCGTGGGCACCCTCTGGGTCTTCCAGAAACAGAGGAAATAGAGACTGAGAGGTGCCTTTCCTCCTGCTCAGTGCAACAAACGTAGGCATGCGCTTGGTCGTGCCGGCGTGGAGGGAGGCAGGTGTGGGGCTGAACTTTCCCCTTTCACATTCCTTACTAGTTTTTTACAGAAGGTTCCACTAGGTGGGAATGTAGGGCAGGATTTCTCCTGCAGGAAACAGGAGCCAGGGCCGAAGGTCGACGGACCTGTCTAAAAGCGAGGCTGTCAGAACTCGCCGCCCCGCCCCGTTCTCCATACTCCCCGAGGCACTAAGTCTTTAAAATTCTCTACGTTTAGAGTCTTCAGATTCTCCAAAGTTTCCTTTAAATGTCTGCATTTTTTTGGATGGCTCTAAAGGGCAGGAGTCAGGCTCAAAGCTCAGTATTGGGCTTGGGGGTGTTTGAGATACGGTCTCATAATAGCCCAGGTTGGCGGCTAACGACTCAATACATAGCAGAGGCTGGTCTTGAACTTCTGATCCTTCCAAGTGCTGGGATTACAGGCTGTATAATGTGTGTGTGTGTGTGTGTGTGTGTGTGTGTGTGTGTGTGTATACATACACACTATATTATATGTGTATGTATGTGGAAGAGGAGACCTTCCTGAAATGAAATATATATATGCATATATATGTATATATATAAAATGCAGGTAGGACATGTGTGTGTGTGTGTGTGTGTGTGTGTGTGTGTGTGTGTGTGTATACATATGTACCTCTCCCTTCCAGTACGGGAATCGAACCCCGCGGGGCCCTTGCAAAAGCTAGGCAGGTCCCCAGCCTGACAGTGCCCAAGCCTGATGAACTGCTTCTGACCTCGTCCTTTAGACCCCCTGCGGGTCCCCGGAATTTCCTTCTGGCACTTCCCGGGGTGTGTGTGTGGGGGTCCTTCAGCTGGAGAACGCTGAAGCGCTCCGGGGCGCGTCTGCAGGGAGAGCTCCGAGGCAGAGCTCACGTTTGCCCTCGGGGCGGATTTCATCAGCGTCCCCCGCCCGCCCCCGCCAGCAAAGCCCCGTGTCCTTGAGCAGCGAGGAATGCAACACAGCTCTCCGGACCCGGCCTGTCCGTTCTCGCAAGCGTTTCTTGGAAACGGCGGGTTCCACCGAGCAGGTGGCTCGGAGTTCAAAGATCTCCTGGCTCTCGGCCGGACGCCGTCCCAGCGCCTGGCCGCCATGGCGCCGGGCAAATTCGCCCAGCCGACCACAAGGAGGCGCGCGCGGCCCGTGCGGCGGCGGCGGCTCCTCCTCCGCGCCCTGGAAGACAGACCAGTCCCCGAGAGTTCCTGCCTGGGCGCCCCAGCCGGGCCTCTCTTCTCGCGAGAGCTGCCTGTCCCTCCTTCCCTCCCCCCCCCCACCCCGGCTTTCTGCGCGCTCCTCTCGCCAATGCCCCCCTCCCACGGGGCAGGTTCCATATTGGGTAAGATCTCGGCTGGCCGAGCG